TGGGGGAGAGGGGGGAGAAGGTGGGGACAGGTGGAACTGCTCCCCCCCTCACCTTTGCCTGTGTTCCCCCCTCGGAGGGAAATCGGGTTCGAGGAGGCAGGCGGTGGCCTTGAGGGGGGGGGTTGCTCTCCATCCCCTCCACCCGTGGCTTTTCCCCCTGCAGCACCCCAAAGCCCGGGTGGGTGGGAGGGAGAGGGCCACAGGGTGCCCGTGGATGCTCAGCAGCCGGCTGCCACGAAAGTCCCTTTGGGACCGTACCCCAGCAAAGAATCGTTGTTATTGTTCTACCGGAGGGCTTCGACCTCCCGTCCGCGGTATCGAGTGCTTCGATTTCTTCTCCTGGGAGCGAGGAGTTTCTGCTGCTCAGAAAAGCTGACTCAAGCCTTTCTAGTTTTTAATTGCGGTGGGTGAATGGGGGAACCCAGGATGGTTGGACGTCCCACAAGCCTTGGGTAGGGGGAATGGCAGCTCCTGGATTAGTGCAAAGTACGCTGGGCTGCGTGCCCTTCGTGCTGGGGTCAGGCAAGGTCCTCTCCCTGGAGCTTCAGCCTTGCCCTGTCCCTTGCTTGGCATGGCCTGCGGGGGCAGCTCCGTTGGTATCCCTCCTGGCCAAGAGCGGTTCTGAGGGTGGAAAGGAGGTTTTAACCTTGAAACAATTAACAAAGGCGTTTCTAGGGTCATTTCTAGGTGGGTTTGGTGGTCGCTCGCTGATACAGCCAGCGGCATCTTGGTGTGGAGAAGGTGGAGAAACCAGAACTGCACAAGATGAGAGCCTGGAAGAGAAGGTGGGCTTGCTTTGCCCTGGCGTTGTCTAGACCGTGAAAAGTGCTAATATCTTCCTCCAGGCAGGGGTGAGACAGCGGAGGTGAGGTTTATGTAGGTCACTGGAAAGGGAATTACATCGTTAGAAACCAGGAGATGCTACGGAATAGGAGTGGAAAAGAGGTGCTGTGGCATAAGGTGTAGAATAAGAGCGCTTGGCTAAAAAAGAGCCTTTGAAACCTGGTGTTGGAAGGCAGACATGACATGCCCTGTGCCAAGGAGGTACGTAGGTGGGTCTAACGCCTTCAAGGTGGCATTGACCTTTGGGGGAGGAAGGGGGTGTGTTGTACCTATTGCTGCAGTTTCTGCTGCTGCAGAGCTGTCCTCCAGCATCACTTGGGCACAGGGTGGATACGTGATATGGTAGGTGCTGTAGGACTGAGTCTGGGAAGTCATGCTTCCAGGGACACTGCTGATGTGCTGCTGCTGGGGGCTGGGGGCTCTTCTTCCTCCCATGCAGGGGACAGGCTCCTATCCCTCCCCTAAGCAGCCATCACTTCTGGCAAGCTTTTTCTCTGGGTGAAGTTTGGGTGACGAAAATGAAACAAGCTACATAACTTCCCACTGATGGAGGTGGGAGCTGCTTGTTCCTTGCTGCATGCCCTGTGTGTCGGCTCAGTGCTAGGAGAGGAGATTTGAGCAGCTAGAAATCAAGCTGCAGATAGCATGGGTAGCGGCAGCCCACGGATGCCGAGAAGCTGTTGCACTGTAGCAGCTCTGGGCAGCAAACCCCAAGCTGCTGCGCTTTGCTCGCTCCACCAGCTTTTGTGCGGCGGTGGTGGGGGAGTTTGCTGTGAGCGGGTGCGCAGCAAAGTGCCTCGCACCTCCCTCTGACACAGAGCTGATATGTAGACCTGGGCTGATACTGTGGCTGGAGCCAGGGAGGGGATTTCCCAAGCCCTGAAGAGCCCCAGGGCTGCAAACCGGTAAAGTGCTCCTAATAAAACCTATCAGGCCAAATTCCTATCAGGCTTAATCTCATTGTCTCATCCTAACACTTAGCTCCCTCCCAGCCCTGTTTTTCTGGCTGGTTTCAACCCCAGAGCTCTCACTGGGATAAGGGTCTTTGGCAGGCCGTGTCCTGAGTGCACACGTGCTGCTGCAGGACAGCTGAGTCCTAGTGTTGAATTCTCTCTTCCAGCCTGAAACGCTCCTCCGGGATCCCATCTTGGCCGTTCCCCTCTTGCTGGGCAACGGCAATCACATTGTTTAGCCTCGTGCATCAAGGTGGCAAGTCTAATCCAGCCCAGATTAATTTCAACCTAGTTTTACCCTCTAATGCTCTGGGTTGCGGGGAAGGAATTCAGCCTGCTGGAGAGCAGGTGCCTGCTGCTCCCATCCAGGGTAGGCATGAGCATCCCTCAGCCCCTTCCCAGCCCCAGCAGGCAGGGTAGCTGGTGTTGAGCACTTAAACAGCCCAGTGGGAGCTTGGCCTGCTGGTTGGAGATGCCTTTTTGGAAAGGGAGGAAGCATCTGGCTTTGCTCACGTTGTCTTGCAGGTAGCTGGGACTTGTGTGGCTCCTTTTATTGGCTTAGAAAAGTATCTCTGCCCAAGAAAGGCTGTTCAGGGCAGGAGTGGGGGAGAGGCTGGGGCTTATGAAGCAGTTCTTATTAATAGAACACGGCCCTTAAAATGGGAGCTTTAGCAAAGGGCTCTAGGAGGAACTTCAGCCACTCTGAGTCACTGGCCCTGGGGACTGAATTCCTGTGTGCTATTGTGAGTGTTTGCCTTATCGCAGTCACAGCCAGGCTTGCATACAATGTGGAGGGTGGAATGCCTTTGAAATATGCTCCCCTGTTGCTTCCTTCGGTCTGGAGCAGAGCTGTGACACTGGTAGGCTGTTCAGTTCCCCTCCAGTTGAAATGCAAGGGGACTGGGTGCTAGGTGTGTGCACAGCGTCACCCATCCTGCTCTCCTGCCACGCTGCCAAGGGCTGTTGGACCCCCGGGCACATGTCCCTCAGCTATCATGTATGGATGTAACGTTCCCTTTGGTTTTCACCATTTCTGTGCTACTGCTTGCTCCGAGAGAAGTACAGCACTCTGCTCTCACAATCGCCTCCCCTGCTGATGGGTGGAAGCTGTCTGCTGCTCCTGCACAGCAGGAATGAGACGCTGACCTGGTGGCCAGGAGATGCTCTGGCCCTGGTTCAGTTCTCAGTGATGTTTGGCAGGTTCCTTCTACAGAGGCTATTCGGTGGCAATGGCAGTAGGTAACACTACTCCACTCTCTGGTGACTTCTGCTGCTGGCTGAGCCCAGGTCTCAAAGCTGAATCGGGCCCTTTGTGTTGGGCTGGCAAATGATACCCCTGGGTAGAAATAACAGATAAATGAAATTGAGTTGGCAAAGGAGAGCAAAAGAAGGAACTGGGAACATAGCTTTTCACCACAGCTCTCAATTTGAGTTGGTGTCCATGGTGATAAGGGAAGTCTGTGTCACGCTGGTTTAGTGGGCACAGACTCTGGTGTCCCATCTGGAGTTTGTGAGATGGGAGGAGGGGATGGCAGTCATTTCTGTCCTACTGCACTTCCTACAAAACCTTAGTTCAGCTGCAGAGAAAAGACTCGCCAAAGCAGTGGTTAACTGGCAGTGAGGGTTTGAGGCATTTGGACTCCCTGGGCAGGTCCAGGCTCCCCTGTCGCAGTGAGAAAGGAAGGGCAGCTCCAGGTGTGTGGGCTGGGGGGCCCGGGAGCATGTGCTGCAGGGTTAGGGTGGCAGGCAGATATCAAGCACGAAAGGCTTGGGGCTGGCTGTGGCAGCAGGAACCAGGCACCAGCGTGGGGCTGCAGTGTTTCCGGAGCTGGCCCAGCAGCCAGACTGGGGGATAGCTGGTTTCAGTTTTCCTTCTGGAAGAAATGAGAACATGCTCTGGAGGTTGGAGGGTGTTTGGGTTACTGATGGCTGCGTGGACCTCCTACAGTCCTGATGCCCTAGTGCGTGCCAATGGGGCTTCTTTGGGCGGGGGTGGTCTCATTAAGCACAAGTGATGCTGCCCCAGTACTACCAGTGCCGGAGATCCTAGTCTCTTGGCGACCCACTCCTGCCTTCCTTGCGAGCATGGAGAACAGTGGTGAGGAACACATGCCCGCAGTAGGGAACAGCCTCAGCTCTCTATCCACCCTAACCCCTGGAGGGGTTTTATCCTGGACAGGCCACGCAGAAGCTGTGCAGATGTTAATGATTTCTACACTGAAGAATGTGGTGTTGTTGCTGAACACAGATCGAGTCATTAAGCTGTGCTGGGCTCGCTGGAGCTAGGCGGTGTGGGAGGGTAGAGACAGGAGCAAGACCCTGCTGCTCACAGCTGCAGGGGCGGGGGGTGTTGCTGGCAGGGCATAGCAGTGGAGCTGGCTCTGCAAGTTGTGGTTTGTCCTCTCGGGTACCTGAAGGTTTCTGAGGTGGGGCTAGGGACAAGTGACCAGAAGTGACCCAGGATTTCCTCTTCAGCCTGTGCAGGGTAGGGGAGGAAAAATGAGTAGACAGTCTGAGAGTGAGACCCTGTTCCTTACCCCAAAATACCTGTCCTCTCTTGAGTGCATGGTGGTCTGTGACCTTTGCCTGTTCTATTTACTAGCCCTCAGAGTTTATCCAAAGAGTTTGAAATTGGAGATCGGAGCGCTTTTTGCAAGGGCTAGGAGCCATTGCTGGGAATAGGTGCTCGACCCATGCTGTGCATGCTTAAGTAGAGATGTGGGGAACTGAAACCTTGGATGAGCAAGAAGAGGGAGTTTCATGCAGTTATTCCAAAGGCACATGGGGTCCAGTCCTCCCTGGAGCTGTTGGTGGGAAATCTGAGACACCAGAGGCATTCCCCTTGCGCTGGAATGTTAATGACAAGATGTGGGGGGATTCAACCCATTTTCAAGCCTCGTGGCACTGTTGCTCAAATGTGGCGCTCTGGGAATTGCGTAGGTCTTCTGGGTAATGCTGCATTTGTACATGCCTTCTAGGGTGTTTTCCTTTGCATCTTTAACCTTGCGGATATTCTTTTTTTTTTCTGTTTTAGGAATTTCTCTGTGACCCAAAGTTCAGTGATGAAGAAGATCTGGAGGAGAAGTTGGCAGTGTTCAAAGGTGAGAACTGGAGGGTTTCCCTGTCCTTTCAGCCTGACTATTTGCTCTGAACAGATTGTTTTCCTCAGCACATGGATCTTACCAGCCTGAGATTCTCTGCCAAATACAAGTGACTGAGCTGGGATGGATGCCTCCCCCTTGCTTGTGGGACTCAGTGATACTCCCCAGAGAGGTGGTTTTCCCACATGAGCCTTTGTGCTTCCCCCGCTTGCAGGGCAGGGACATGTCACCCTACAGACATCTTGCCTGGTGGCTGCTATTACTGCAAAACCTGCTGTGTGGGCAAAACCATGGGGAGCAGCAAAGGAGGACGGTTTCTGTCTAGATACCTAGACGAGCCAGCTGGTACAATGGATGATGCAGTAGCTGGACTTCTTTTTTTTCTTTCTTTTTTCCCAGTGAGTAGGAGGACCTCTTCCCACAGAGCAGAGGTCTCAGCTGCTTTCTGAAGGAGTCAGGGACTTTCCCCAAAAGTTTCTTCAGTCTGATCTGGTCCTTCCCCAGCGCCTTGGTACCTGAGGCAACAGCAGCAGTGTGTCTCTAGTCCTGGCCAAAGCCTAACTCCAGTGGGTCAGCAGATCTGGGGCTTAGGTTTGGGCCATTTGCTGGGATGGGGCATAGAGAAACAGCTCAAAAGCCTGGGGTCCTCTGGAGCTTGTCCCCAAAGTGGTTACAGGGTAAGATTTGGCAGGGCTGTTCTGGATACATCCACTTTCTTTCCAAGCAGTGGCTGAAGGCAGTTGAGAAAACATGCCTTCTGCGTCACACTGCCCTCAAGGTTTGTCCTCAGCCTGGCTCTAACCAAATAAAACCTGACCTTGCTTCCATTTCAGGTGTTATCTGCTTTTTCCCTTTGAATTTTGGCTTTGCAATTCAGCATGGAAGAAGCTAGCTGGGGTTTTGTGATCCCTTACCCTGCTGCGCACAGAGAAGCCTCCTGCGCTCCCCGTTCTTTCTGTTGCCTTTTGTATGGCTTTGGCTTTTGGCTGCAGCCCCGCATTATTTTTCCCATCACAATTGGGGCTCTTCAAACATTGCAACTGTAGGTCACAGGCTCAGAATTCCCTGTAACGAGAGCCTTTGGCATATCTTCCCGCTGCCTCGTGAGTTTGCCTCCATGGCCTGTCCCGCTCTCCAACGCCTCCTCCAGCTCCTCCAACAATCGGCTCATTGTGTGATGATGGGAGCAGCGTTTCTTCTCTGCCGTCCTTCCCACTGCCCTCCCCAGCCGGGCCCGGGGAGCCCCCGTGCAGTGTTTGTGTAAATGCATTTGTGAGGGGAGGGACCATGCATGGTTTTGCCCCACCAAATCCCTGCAGCTGGGATGGGAGGGAAAGACAAATGTGCGAGCCGAGGCTCAGAGCACGATGATGTAAAGCTGCCGCTGTTCTCTGTGCTTTTGGCTAAGAGTCAGCTGAGAAGAAAAGAAAACATGTGCTGGGCACGGACACGGCAGAGCAGGGTTTGAGTCCCTGAACGCATGCTGGGGTGCCTGACCCCTGCCCAGGGAGGTGGTGGTTCATTTGCACAAGGTCATTATGGTGGGCCAGAGTGTAGGGAGAGCCAGTTCCACATCTAGCGTTGCTTTGGCCCCTGGGCACATGTGACAGCCCCAATTTCATCTGGGATTGGTCGCTTAATGCTCAAAGGAAGATGTTTATTCCTGCCTGAAGCATGAACAGCTTTGTTTTGTACGTGGTATTCCCATAGGTCTGTCCTGCTCAGCTCATGACAGCGGTAATGCACCAGCTGAGACCCAGCTGAAGACATGTCAAGCTATTCCTCTGCCTCCTGCCTGTAGTTGCTATCAGTCCAGTTAACCCAGGACTTTCCTTCAGAAACACAGGTTCTGGGAAGGCTCCAGTGTGTGAAATATCCCCTCTTCCCTTTAGCTCCTTAAATTAGCCTGCCACTTCTCTGTTCATGCTCATCTGCTTGCTGGTGTCCCTGGAGCAGAGGCAAAAGGTCTTTTCCCTTTGGGGAGAGGAGCGGCCTGGGAGCTCTCACTTAATTTGAGTCCTCCAAGGCTGTTCTGGGGAGCGAGTGCTAACTGCAGGGCAAGTGGAGACTTCTCCAGCTCAGCACAGATGGATGGTGGCAGCAGGCATCTTGTTCTTCTCATTTAGCAGAACTTGAGATGATGGGGGCCCCCCTGCGGTGCTAGGAGCTGTATTGTCTGCAAGACAGACAAATCCTTGCCTGAAGAGCTTAAAGTCTAAATGGGGAACAGCTAGCAGGGGAGGGAGGGAGGGGTAGGAAGCACACAGGTGTGCCACTCCAAAGGTCAGAAGCAGCACAGGACTGAAATTCTGATTTTTCTAACTCAAATCAGTGCTCTGTCTGTTACAGCGTGTGAGCTTTTGTCCTGCAAAGCTAACCAGACTTTCTTGCGCGGGATCTGCCTTTCTCCAAGGATGCTGGCGCTGCCCGATGCAGCAATGTTTGACTGCAGGCTGGAAGGGCAAACAACCTGCTCCAGCATAACTCCTCCTAGGCTTGTTCTTGGCTTTGCCCTCTTGCTGTGATCCTTGAGCATCTCTCCTGGCAGGTGCTGCTCTGGGAGTGCAGCATAGCTTCGGGAGGACTGTAGAGCCTGTCCCTTGGTATTGCAGGCAACTACGTCATTTAATCTCCCTCCTAATCCGATCAAGCTTCATTTTGGGAGTGCTCAGGGTTTTGTTTTCCTTGCTACTCCTTCTGGGAGGCTGTTCCAGAGCTTTGTTTTTCTGGCTGGAAACCTTTTAATGCTATTCATGGCTAGCTGATACCTTGTTCTCATGCCAGTGTTTTCCTTCAGCTTAAATGAAAAGCAGCCACAATTAAAGAGTGCTTAGCTCCAGGGCCCTGGAATTGAGATAAGGGTGCTAAAACCAGGTCTTGAGATGGTCTCCCTCTCTGAACTGTTTGCATTCAGCAGTATATCAATCTTATCCCCTAATCTTTTATTTCATTGCTCTAAGCAGGAAGGCCTCCAAAGCCCTGCATACCCCCTGCTCTAGCGTCCTGCTAACTTGCATCTGTGTCTCTTCCAGAGAAGTACATGGAGTTTGACCTGAACAACCAAGGCGAGATTGGTGAGTGACTCGGGGATGCTGGTGCTGGGCTGGAAAAGCAACAGCTTGCTGAGGTGGTGTCTGCTGCTGTATCTGCTGCTTCCCGCTGCACTCATGTTGCTGAGGAGGAAAACCTGTCGGTTTTTCCCATGTCCAGCCTTGCTTGGATCTTGATTGCCAGCCAGGGGCTTCCTTGGCTCTCCAGCCCCTGCCTTTCAGCTTCCTCAGTCTCTCCTCACCTGCTTCAAGACCTAAGCTCTTCTCAGTCCTGTTTTCCTCCTGAGTTTCTGCTTAGCTCCTCTGCTTCTTTCTGCTTGCTCTAAATGTTTTTGGTTTTTTCTCCCTTTTTTCCCACTGAGGTCATCTTCTCAATCCTTAGCATTTCCAGAGCTAGGAAGTTGCAGGGCTTGGGCAATCCTGGGTTTTGCCTGGCTTGAGGCAGAAGCTGTATAAAACCACGAGCACTGCGGTGCAGAGACGCTCTTTGCTGGGAGGGGAGCGGAGGGAAGCGGGGGACTTGGGTGTGAGTCTGGCTCAGCTGAGCGGCCCTGGTTTGGGCCCAGAAAGCACCAGTTATGTAAAGATCCAGCCTTCTGCAGGCCTGGAGCTGACACTGAAGTGTAATCACTTGCATGCTGTGCCCTTCCAGGAGGCTGCTGCCTTATTCCCCTCCTCCACCAGTCCTCAAGCTGAAGGAAAGCCTGTGGGGAGCGGGAGGAGGCCTGACTCAGCTGCGCTGCCGTTTCCTGGAGGGAAGGGGCCGCGACTCACAGCAGAGCAATGGAAGGAAATGGCCTGTGGCGATGGGCAGGGGCACCTGCTCCCCACAGCCTGTTTGGCTCTAACCCCAGCCTTGCTTCCCTCCTCCCCATCCTTGTGATTCTTGGCACCACGTTCTGAGCTAGGGAGCGGTGTCCCCACGTGTCTGGAGCACTTGGAGGGTCGTCCCTCTTCTGCGTGCATGGTGCTTTTATCTTGAGCTGTGCAAATGGGAAGTGATGCTCTGTACTGGGCAGTACAGCAGTAAGCTGTACTGGAAGGCTTCTCTTGGCTTTCAGCAACACCTTGGTGCTGTCAGCCCCAGAGTCTGCAGGTGAGGTGGTCTGAGGTGGGAACTCATGCCTATGTCCCTAGGGTTGTCTGTGCTCAGTGCAGTCACCTCTCGACAGCACCGATTGCCTTGCTCTTGCAGATTTGATGTCTGTCAAGAGGATGATGGAGAAGATGGGGGCTCCGAAAACCCACCTAGAGCTGAAGAAGATGATCTCTGAGGTGACCGGAGGAGTTAGCGAGACCATCTCGTACCAGGACTTTGTCAACGTGATGCTTGGGAAACGCTCTGCTGTGCTTAAACTGTGAGTGTCCCTGGGAGGGAGTGGGGGGGAGATGCAGGACCTGAGCTGGCATGTTGCGGGAGCCGGGAAGCAGAAGTTGTTCTGCCTGGTGGAGGTGGAGCTGTGCACGTTTGGTGTTTGTGGAGGGGAGACAAGGACCCTTGTGAAGGGGAAGTTTGCAGAGAGACATGAGAGGGTGTAATAGCCCATGTCTGGGCTGAGCAGTGGTGAGCGCTCACAGCAGAGCTGCCTGCTGTGTGTTAGTACAGGCTTCCTCCCACACGCTCAGTGTGGAGTGATTCTCCCCCTTGCCCGAGGGTGTGCAGGCACTCGGCACTGCAGGACTTCTTCCCGTCTCTTCCCTGGGGCTTCTGCTGGCTTTGGGGACACAGGCTTCCCCTGTGAATGGTGGCAGGACTTGAGCAGTGAATGATGGTCCTGCCCACACCAGCAGTGCTGGCTCCTATTTCCCACAGAATGCTCCCTCCCTGCCTGATTTTGGAGAGACGGGCAGTAGATGGAGAGAGGACACATGCTTGAAACAGCTGGCTTTTGCTAGGAGAGGTTTTCTGCGGTACCGGCTGCCAGCACCAGCCTCCCACGGCCCCCTCTGCCCTCTCGACAGGGCTCTGAAAGTCCTGCTGTAACAAATGGCTTCCGAACACTTGCTTGGCTCCATCTCCACCCCATTGAAGCCTGGCTTCGCCTTTCACAGTCACAGAGGCTGGCCCTGCTTTTGTGTCTGTAACCACAATGAATAGGAGCTGCTCCTCTCCATCCCCCTTGCCCCTTTCTGAAGGCAGCTTTAGAAATGGAGCCAGCAGGTTGGGAGGAAGGATCTTGCTCCCACGTCTCACATGGTCCCTCTAAGCCAGTATGTGCTTGCTGGCAATGAGTCTCTCCTCTCCCCACTGAGTGCCCTGTGTCTGTGTGGTGGGGTGCTCCTCTTCCAAGCGTGCACAGACTTCTGACACCCCTGCTCCTCCTTTCTTTCTCCGTGGAAGGAGGCCGAGCCTGCAGCCTGTCCCGTATCTTCCATCCTTCCTCCCAACTGCAACGGCTTTCACAGATGGGTCCCTTCCTTTGCTAACAGACGCCCCATTGTCTACTGGACTCTTTAGAGCAGGAGCAGAAATGCGAAACTTGTCCCAAGAGCGGTACAGTCCTTTGATCCAGCGTGGCAGCTGGCGTTCCCAGCGTAGCTGCAGTGCTCGGGTTGGAAGACAGTGCGAGTGGTTGCAGAATGGTTGGGACTCTTCTAGCCAGTGCTTTGCTCCTTGTCTCTGCCCTCTTCCCTGGCTGTAACTGCTGTTGCTTGCTTGGTGTTGGCTTCTGAATGTTCAGCTGTGTGGTTATGTACAAGGTGGGCCAGGGACAGTATTTGCTTTTACGCATCAGGAGAACTTGGCATGCAGTGTGCGCCCAGGGGATTTCGGAAGTGGCTGTCTAAATAAAACATTCTAATCCTCTGGGCTCTGAGAGGAAAACCAGCAGGGGCTTTGGGAACCCACTCCTGGAAACTGCTGGAAAAGCAAAGCTGCCTGCCAGGCTGGCAGCAGTGCCCTCTGTTGGCTTTCCCTCCTCTGTTAACTATCGGATGCCCTTTGCATGGGGGGCATATGCTATTTTTCAGCAGATGAGATAATCCCACCCCCAATGATGGGTAAAGATGCACCTGCTTTTTTTCATTGGTATTATCTGTTGTGTTTTGCAGGGTCATGATGTTTGAAGGAAAAGCCAATGAAAGCAACCCAAAACCTTCTGGTCCGCCTCCAGAGAGAGACATAGCCAGCCTCCCTTGAAGAGGACAGGCTGAAAAATTGGCACTGTTTGCTTTGCTGGTCTGTAACAGAGGTTACCTGTGCTTTGTTACTCTTTACTGTGGACAGTCCTAGTTTTCAACTAACCTGCCTTAGAGGAACAGCAAGGGAAGCTGGAGACTCCCAGCTCGTGTCTTTCTGCTGCATCCCTTAGCCAACTTGATTTGTTAGACAGAAGCTGTAGCACCAATTGTAATGTGAGACCAAAAAAACAAAAAATTCCTGTGATCTTACTCTTTCCTCTGCCCTTCCTGCTATTCTCAGACAAGGAGCTACGTTCCTCCCAGTGTATGGATTCAGAGCTGTGCTTGTCACGACAGGTTCCTAAAGGGCCTTGCTGCCAGACATAGACCATTTCTCTGGCAAAGCCCCCAACAGCAGCTTCATGGGTGCAAAGAAATAAGTGCCTTCTCTGCTCTGTCCTATGCTTCCTGACTTTGGACTAGTTCTTCCCCTCCTGACCTCACCAAAACACAAGTCAGGCTCCCACCTCTGTGGCCTAGTAGCATGCTAGGTGAACGTGGGAAGGTGCATGGACACCAGAGGTCTGCCTGCAGGGCCTTTAAGCTTGGAGGTAGGCATGGCTGACTGCAGGGACAGCTTCTGTCTGCTCTGTGGGTTCATCCTGCAGTCAGATCTTGGTGGGTCCAACACCAGCCACTGCAAGTGAGGATGATTACATCTACCTTAGGGGCCCCCTTCCTGAAAAATCTCTACTTGGATCTGATCAGGAGCATAACCTCTGAATGGGTGGTTGTCTGTCCTGTCCATCCAGTGCAGAAACAAGCCTGCTGTTATGCCTTTGCAGCCCCTCAGGAAAGCCTAGAGGAAATTAAACCTTCAGGTGAAAGGAGGCTGGGTGACTAAACTGTGAGCCCTGCCAGACCAGTTGCAGATGAAGATCTGTCCTCATGCAGCTGCTCTGTCCCTCTGATTTTTGTAGACCTCCCTGTATGTGTTTCAGCTTGGTTCCTGGGGCTATTGGGTACATTTCCCTGATGGATAAGCCCTCAAATCTGCAAAATAAGAATGGCTGTAAGTGTGGAGTATGAGCTGGAATCCAGATGTAGCTGGGACTGTGCTATCCACACTCTGGTTACTGCTGTGATTCTTGCTCTGTACACAATTTCTGGAATCCAGATGTTTGCTCTTTGCCCTTTCCCTACTGTTCTCTTAAATGTTCTTGGCAGCTTTTAACTTTTTTTAAAAATCATGTTTTAATAAATAAGATTTTTAATGGAAATACAGATGATTAACTCTACTAGGCTGATTTGTTCCTGCCAAAGGCTGCACTTTTAAATAATAAAAAAAAAAATTCTCACTACTGTTTGCATGAAAACCAAAACTGTAATGGAGAGAAGAATTATGAGCAAAAGCAGCACCAGTCTACTTTAAGGACTGAAAATAAATCTTCTGAAGCTACACTGTGTGTCAGTGTATTTAGTTTAGCTCCTCTGAAGCTTGGTCCATGTGGTTGGTTGCAGATTAAGTGAGCTGGTTTCCACGTCTGTTAATATAAACCCTTAAATAGATCCTAGAGATAGGTTTGGACTGTGTTGATCTGATCTTGATCTGTAATAACTGACCGAATGCCATGGAGTTTGTGTTACGAAATGCAGAGGCCACCTCCTGAAAGCTGTCTTTTTTGACTTGCTGGGTGGCAGTGCTTGTTTTAAGGAATAACTTGTTTATCAGGAGCAGATACTTGTAATGCTTCTCTTGAAAGACTATTTATTTATTTTTTTTCATCCTCTCTGCTCTTGAAGCAATCGCCTGAGGTTCTTGTCTGATGTGAGTTATCAAAATGGAGACCAGGTTTCCTGGGGGAATGACTGGGTACACTTTTTCCACGTGTTCCTCAAAAGGACAGAATTGCCCTTAGATCAGAGCCCTGTGTCTGCTTTCTGCTGCCTGTTAGCCTCTGGGAAGGCACCTGCTTTTCTAGGCCATGTGTCTTATAGCTGTTGTTCAGTTAGAAAATAAAGGGAGCATATTACACAAGGGAAATTTGGATGTGGTTTGCCACAGTTCAGATCACCGCCCAAAGCCATCACTGCTTTTGTCTCTGTGGAAATCCTTCTGGTCCTGGAAAAGACAAGCACAACCTGCTAGAGCTGGAAACAGCCCTTCACAACATGTCCTTGTCCCCACAGGGCTAAGCGCTAAGGCGATATACCCCTCTGAGTGGGGGCTGAACCCCCCCGAACTTGAGGCAGGAGCGAGCAAGGGAAGAAAGTCAGGTCCTGTCGTGACTGAAAAAACACATGCTGCTTTTGCGGGGCCCTGGAGCGCAATTAGGCTGTCCCTGCTCACAGAGCTTCCATCTTTCCAGCTCAGCTGCACCTTAACTGGAGGCGTACAGGCACCGACCCTGCGCATCGGACCGTGCGCTCCCACTGCAGCCCACGCTATGGGAGTGGGATGTGCTTAGAGCTGCAGCAACGTCAGACTTTCGCTGTGGAAAAAAGCACCGAAGCCCCTTACCAAGAGTTGACGATGGACAAGGTGGAGCGGCTCCCTGCCAGCCTCCACCATTGCGCAGCTGGGAGAGCTGGCTTGCAGACAGCCAGGCCCCATGCCTCCTGGTAGCCGAAACTCAGCCCCAGAGGGGTCTGTCCCCTCAGGGCCTCCCCGGGGAGTGTGTGTGGGGGGGGGGGGGGGGGACGGCCCACGGGGGGGGGGTCTCTCCGGGGGGGAGGGGGGGGGGGGGGG